TGTCCAAAGTGTCAAAATGTCCGTGTTTTTTCAGTCTGTTTCTCGGGACCGGGCGCAGTTTGGTGTTTTTTAACGGTTCGTAATCTTAACTGAAGCTGCTGAAGCTGAAACGAGCCGGAAACCCTCCGGATGTGAGACTTTTGGAGCTGCTTTTGGAAGTTTAGGGCGATCAGATTTTCAGTTTGTGGTGTTTGGTGATAATAAAACTGTGAAACGCGTGCGTCATCACGGAAAACCGTTCTGCGCTCGGCTCGAAAGTGACTCGGTTTAGTCACAATTTTCTTTGTTTTTGTCATTTTAAGCAACTTTTTCTGCATTTTACCGAAACAAATGACAATTAATGCCTCTTTTTACAGCTGGCAGGTGTAAAATTGGTCCAAAATAGAGACACTGGGACATTTCTTGTGTAAAACTGCTGGGACAGATGAGTGGTTTTGTGTAAATCTGCGGGGACAGGACGGGGACTGTCCCGGGTCCTGAGGGACGTGTGGACGTGTGGACGTGTGGACGTGTGGACGTGTGGACACTTTACCCATGTTCCTCTTTAATGATGTGGGAGATTTAAAGACTCTGGGGGCCGCGTGTCTCTTTTGTTCATGAAAAACCGCGTGACTTTTCATCTCGGAGCCGAATTGTCCCTGAACAGTTTTTTCTGTCACGATTTTCCCCGTTTGACCTCAGATTCAATTAGAACGAACAGAGTTTCAAAATAATAAACTGTGACATCCGGGTTCGTGGAGACTTGTAATAATAAAACTGTGAATCAAGTGTAATTAAATAAATCTGTTTTCCACTCGGTCCAGTCATGACGAACATGAGTCACTTTAGTCACATTTTCTTTGTGTTTTTAAGCAGATTTTTCTCTATTTTACCCAAACAAAGGACAGATTCTGCCTCTTTTTACTTTTGGCGGGTGTAAAATTGTTCAAAAATAGAAACACTGGGACATTTCTTGAATAAATTGGGATAAATCAGTGTTTTAGTGTGAATGTGGGGGACACGCGGACACGCGGACACGGGACACGGGACACGGGGACACGCGGACACGCGGACACGGGGACACGCGGACACGCGGACACGCGGACACGGACAGGCCTGGGACTGTCCCGCTCCGGTCTGTGGGTTTGGGCCTCCAGCAGAGTCACGTGCGCGGTGTTTCCCGCGCTCTGACGGGCTGATTGGATTCATTAAGGTGATTGATGATTCTGATCGATACTCGATTCTGTCCCGCCCCGCTCCCTGCGCACGCGCACATTCAACCGCGCGTTTGTCCTCATTTCATTTGTTTCCCGTCGCTCCTCGCGCTCTGCCCCTCACGCACGCGCGCTCTGCCCCTCACGCACGCGCGCTCTGTCTCTCACGCAAACGCACGCGCGGCTGTTTATGAGAAAACGCAGCGGAAAAAACCTTCCGCACGCGCCTGGAGTAATTACGCTGCGCCGCTCCGCCGCACGCGCTCCTCAGCGTTACTCACAGGAGCGTGCGCGTGCGTGTGACTGCGCGTGTGCGTGTGTGTGTGTGCGTGTGAGCGTGCACGGGGCGCTAATGATCCGCGCTCTTCTGTAGCCCACTGTACACAGGACTAAAGCAGGACTAAACCAGGTCTAAAGCAGGGCTAAAAGAAGTTTAAACCAGGCCTGAACTAGGACCAAACCAGGACTAAGTCAGGACTAAAAAAGTGGGTTTGGAGAGTGTGTACGCGCTTGGAGATAGTGCATGTGTGTTGGGGCAGGCGCGCGTGTTTGGAGAGGACATTTGGAGAGGGTTCATGCGTTTTGGAGAGCGCGTTTGTAGAGGGCGCACGGGTTTGGAGAGATTTGGAGAGGGCGCACGGGTTTGGAGAGGTTTGGAGAGGGCGCACGGGTTTGGAGAGGGCGCACGGGTTTGGAGAGGTTTGGAGAGGGCGCACGGTTTTGGAGAGGGCGCACGGGTTTGGAGAGGGCGCACGGGTTTGGAGAGGGCGCGCGGTGGATGGTTTGGTGCAGAGGGGCTCTGAGTTTTGCGCAGTGCGGCCCGGTGCGGCTCCAGACACAAAGGAAACCGGGAAATAAGAAAAAAAGAAAATTTAAGACGTGAAATAAAAAACAGGCGCGTAAAACAAGAAATAAAACAAAACCGAGACGCTCCGAGAAAAGAGACTCAACACACGGGACAGACCCGGGACTAAACCAGGACTAAACCAGGACTAAACCAGGATTAAACCAGGACTAGACCAGGACTGAACCAGGACCAGGACTAGACTAGGTCTAAACCAGTACTAGACCAGGACTAGACCAGGACTAAACCTGGACTGGACCAGGACTAAACCAGGAATAATCCAGGACCAGGACTAAACGAGGACTAAACTAGGACTAATCCAGGACTAATCCAGGTCTAAACCAGAACTAAACCAGGATTAGACCAGGACTAAACCAGGACTAGAAATAAACTAGTACTACACCAGGATTAAAACAGGACTAGAACGGAACCAGGACTAAGAGCTTCGTCTCTGTCTGTGTGCGCTGGACCGTGTGCGGACGTGACTCGCGGTGACTCGGGGCCGTGTGCAGACGTGACTCGAGCTGTGCACGTGCGTCAGTCCGTGAGTGAAGAGCGGAGTTTGGGGCAGTTTGTCCCCGGGACAGAGGCGCTGTCGGCGGGTCCAGTCCGCGGACAAAACCGGACTCAAGACTCAGACTCAAGACTCAGACTCCAGACTCAGACTCAAGACTCAAGACTCAAGACTCAGACTCAAGACTCAGACTCAAGACTCAGACTCAAGACTCAAGACTCAAGACTCAAGACTCAAGACTCAAGACTCAGACTCAAGACTCAGACTCAGACTCAAGACTCAGACTCAAGACTCAAGACTCAAGACTCAAGACTCAGACTCAAGACTCAGACTCAAGACTCAAGACTCAAGACTCAAGACTCAAGACTCAAGACTCAAGACTCAAGACTCAAGACTCAGACTCAAGACTCAAGACTCAAGACTCAAGACTCAGACTCAAGACGGAGCAGGAAACACGGAACAAAACATTTCTACAGTTTGTGCGCTGAGTTCTGAGAAACTGACATAAAAACACAAATGTGACTCCTGTTGGTCCGTGGGCCTGCGCACATGCACCTCGTCAACACTGCAAAAACTCAAATCCCGCCAAGTTCAGTGACTTGAATTAAGAAAGTTTCATCACGATTTGAGTAAATTTCACTTGGAGAGTGAAATAATCCACCAGCGGAACAAGACTTTTTGTGCTTCAAATAAAAAACTACATTTGCTGCACTGAAAATGAGAAAAACCAACAACTTTTTGCCGTTGAAATAAGAAACAACATGAAACAGAAACAACAAAACCCCAAAGCTGCACATCCGGGTCCCTGCGCTCGGGTCCGCGAGGCCTCAGGTCAGACCAGAGCTCTGCCACGCGCCTCAAACACCTGACGTAACCACACGTTTACCTGAGCTGTCAATCAAATTCATTATTTAAAAATACGTGCACTTAGCCCCGCCCCTTCGGCAGGTTCATTTGCATATGACGCAACAAAACCGGTCAATGTGAAGAAAGTTTAAGTTTCTACAAAACTGCAACGTCCTCACGTAAACCAGGTCTAAACCAGGTCTAAACCAGGTCTAAACCAGGTCTAAACCAGGTCTAAACCAGGTCTAAACCAGGTCTAAACCAGGTCTAAACCAGGTCTAAACCAGGTCTAAACCAGGTCTAAACCAGGACTAAACCAGGTCTAAACCAGGTCTAAACCAGGTCTAAACCAGGTCTAAACCAGGTCTAAACCAGGTCTAAACCAGGTCTAAACCAGGTCTAAACCAGGTCTAAACCAAGTCTAAACCAGGACTAAACCAGGACTAAACCAGGTCTAAACCAGGTCTAAACCAAGTCTAAACCAGGACTAAACCAGGACTAAACCAGGACTAAACCAGGTCTAAACCAGGTCTAAACCAGGTCTAAACCAGGACTAAACCAGGTCTAAACCAGGTCTAAACCAGGTCTAAACCAAGGTCTAAACCAGGACTAAACCAGGTCTAAACCAGGTCTAAACCAGGTCTAAACCAGGACTAAACCAGGTCTAAACCAGGTCTAAACCAGGTCTAAACCAGGTCTAAACCAGGTCTAAACCAGGACTAAACCAGGACTAAACCAGGTCTAAACCAGGACTAAACCAGGTCTAAACCAGGTCTAAACCAGGTCTAAACCAGGTCTAAACCAGGTCTAAACCAGGTCTAAAACCAGTCTAAACCAGGACTAAACCAGGTCTAAACCAGGACTAAACCAGGTCTAAACCAGGACTAAACCAGGACTAAAACCAGGTCTAAACCAGGACTAAACCAGGTCTAAACCAGGACTAAACCAGGTCTAAACCAGGTCTAAACCAGGTCTAAACCAGGACTAAACCAGGTCTAAACCACATCTAAACCAGGACTAAACCAGGTCTAAACCAGGTCTAAACCAGGACTAAACCAGGTCTAAACCAGGTCTAAACCAGGTCTAAACCAGGTCTAAACCAGGACTAAACCAGGTCTAAACCAGGTCTAAACCAGGTCTAAACCAGGACTAAACCAGGTCTAAACCAGGTCTAAACCAGGTCTAAACCAGGTCTAAACCAGGACTAAACCACATCTAAACCAGGTCTAAACCAGGACTGAACCAGGACTAAACCAGGACTAAACCAGGTCTAAACCAGGACTAAACCAGGTCTAAACCAGGTCTAAACCAGGTCTAAACCAGGACTGAACCAGGACTGAACCAGGTCTAAACCAGGACTAAACCAGGACTAAACCAGGTCTAAACCAGGTCTAAACCAGGTCTAAACCAGGACTGAACCAGGACTGAACCAGGTCTAAACCAGGACTAAACCAGGTCTAAACCAGGTCTAAACCAGGTCTAAACCAGGACTGAACCAGAGGTAAAGCAGGACTCGCAAAAGACCAAATCGGGACTAACTCAGGTTTTTAAAGAAGGACTAAACCAGGACTGTGGACCACGGTTCTGGTCCGGTGGGACTCACCGTGGCGGCGGGTCCGGGCTGGACACTCGCGCTCCCGTCCGAGCCCAGGATGATGGTGGTCTGACTCATGGTCTGGCCCGGGTTCTGGCCCGGGTTCTGGCCCGGGTTGGTCCAGTTGTTCTGCTCCGGGGCCGGCGGGGCGGGGGCGGGGCTCTTAAAGGTTCCGTAGGCCCGGTTTCCGTCCTCCCCGGTTCTGCTCTCGGCGAAACTTCTGGTGTCGTTGTTGGCGACGTGCGCGCTCCCGTCGGCCCGGTGCGCGCCCTCGTGCTGGGGGGGCGCGGGGGGCGGGGGCGCGGGGCCGGGACACACGGGGCCGGTTTGGACACGTCCCGCTGCTCGTGGACATCCTGCGGACACAGACACGCGCGTCAGCCTCACGTGCACGAGCCTGAACTGAGGTCTGGGACGGAGAACGTGCGCGCCTACGTCTGTACGTCAGCGTGCGTGAAGGTGCACGTGCGGTTTCATTCATTACTCTGGGCTTTTCCCGCGCGGCTCCGCGAAAAAAAGAGAAAGAAAAAGAGAAAAAGAAAAAGAGAAAAGGGAGATTTGCCGAAACAAAGATTCAGTTTGTTTGTTTGTTTTTTTACTTCGTGCGTTTTTAAAAATGTTTCACTAAAACAAACACAAGTGTTTGTTTCTGTTCACGTGTTTGTGTTTGAGCGGGACAGAAGTGAAGCTGAAACATCACGAGACAAAAACACTTCACTGTTTTATCTTTTTTTAAAAAACATGTCAAAGTCTGAGGGACGCGCGCAGCAACAAAACCAAACTTTTGGAATAAATGTGACTTTATCTACCGCAAATAAAACAAATAAAACAAATAAAAACAAATAAAACAAATAAAAACAAATAAAAACAAATAAAAACAAATAAAAACAAATAAAAACAAATAAAAACATCTGTGAAGATTTAGAGTCAAAATAAAAAATGTTAAAACAGGAGCACGAGTGACACTGACACACTGGAGGGACCTGACACACTGGAGGGACCTGACACACTGGAGGGACCTGACACACTGGAGGGACCTGACACACAGGAGGGACCTGACACACAGGAGGGACCTGACACACTGGAGGGACCTGACACACTGGAGGGACCTGACACACTGGAGGACCTGACACACTGACCTGACACACAGGAGGGACCTGACACACTGGACTGACCTGACACACAGGAGGGACCTGACACACGGAGGGACCTGACACACTGGGGACCTGACACAGAGGGACCTGACACACAGGAGGGACCTGACACACTGGAGGGACCTGACACACAGGAGGGACCTGACACACTGGAGGGACCTGACACACAGGAGGGACCTGACACACTGGAGGGACCTGACACACTGGAGGGACCTGACACACTGGAGGGACCTGACACACTGGAGGGACCTGACACACTGGAGGGACCTGACACACTGGAGGGACCTGACACACAGGAGGGACCTGACACACAGGAGGGACCTGACACACTGGAGGGACCTGACACACAGGAGGATTCCCGCGGTTTGGAGGTTGTGTCATTTTTTGTTGTTCATATAAACGCCTGAGGCCCGCGGACGGACGCACGTGACAAACGTCAGAAACGTAACGAACAATTTTTTATTTCCAGGTGATTTTTGTGGCCCCCACGCTGCGGCACTGCGGACACACACACACACACACACACACACACACCTGAGCACGGTGCAGTACTGGGGGGAGTTCAGTGACGCGCGGCCAATGCGCAAAACTGCGGAGCGTCCAGACAAAGAAGAACTAGAACTGTACACGCACTGTACACGCACTGTACACGCACTGTACCTGTACAGTGCGTGTACAGTGCGTGTACAGTGCGTGTACAGTGCGTGTACAGTGCGTGTACAGTGCGTGTAAATCCCAAATCTGAGATTCATAAAAGCAGAAAAACACATTTACAGCTCAAAATCTGAAGAACCCGAGTTTAACACGATTATATAATTATGACATGATTATATTAGATTAATATATAATTAAATTATTTAATTATTATATGAGGTTATTAAATGATTATTACCTCATTATGTTATTATTGTTATTATTATTATTACATCATCACGTTCTGAAGTTCACTTGGTTTTGATGAACTAAAACTGTCACGTCCGCGTGATTACACGATTATATAATTATATTATTACATGATTATTACATAATAACACTTCCACAGTGACTCGGTTTAGACTCGGGACTCGGGTCTCGGGTCTCGGGTCTCGGGTCTCGGGTCTTGGGTTTCGTCTCAAACAGCTGGACACATTTTTCATTTAAATTGAAGTAGAATTACCTTCACGGCTGCAGCAAAGCGAGAATGCTCTGTCCACCACACGCACGCACACGCACGCACACGCACACACGTACACACGTACAGGCACGCACGCGCACGCGCCCCTCCGCATTGATTCGTATCTGATTGGCGGCGGCAGATTGAATTAACGCCGAGTCCATTCGCTGAAAGTGCTGAGTGCGCGAGTCTGCGGGAGTGTACGAGTGTGTACGAGTGTGTACGAGTGTGTACGAGTGTGTATGGGTCTACTGTCCCGGAGCAGCGCGAGGGACCAAGGGGGGGGGACCGGGAGAGACCGAGAGAGAGAGGGAGAGGGGGAGGCCGGAGGAAGAGAGCGCGGTGAGGCCGAGGAGAGGAAGAGGAGAGGCCGGGAGAGGAGAGGGGGAGACCGTGGGGGGGGGACCGTGGGGGGAGACCGTGGAGGGGGGGGGGGGGGGGGGGGGGTTGAGCTCTGCGCTGGATTCTTTAATTTTCCGGACCATTTCCCGCGGTGTCATTGAGCGGTGCTGGTTTATGGTCGACACAATCTGCTGCAGTGTCCCCGGAGACACGCGCCGATCCGGGCTCAGGGAAGCGCCGCGGAGCCGAGGGGAGACCGGGGGCGCGGAGCCGGAGCCGGGGGCGCGGAGCCGGAGCCCGGGCACGAGAGCGGGGACAGACCGGGGAGGGGGCGGGGGGGGGGGGGGGGGGGGGGGTCCGGGAAGAGACCGAGAAAAAAACCGAGACAGAAGAGACAAGACCGGGCAGAGAGACCGGGGAAAGACTCGGGGGTTCCGGGGATAGTCCGGGGTTAGTCCGGGATAGTCCGGGGATAGTCCGGGGTTAGTCCGGGGATAGTCCGGGGTTAGTCCGGGGATAGTCCGGGGTTAGTCCGGGTTAGTCCGGGGATAGTCCGGGGATAGTCCGGGTTAGTCCGGGGATAGTCCGGGGATAGTCCGGGGATAGTCCGGGGTTAGTCCGGGGTTAGTCCGGGGATAGTCCGGGGATAGTCCGGTGTTAGTCCGGGGTTAGTCCGGGGATAGTCCGGGATAGTCCGGGATAGTCCGGGATAGTCCGGGATAGTCCGGGGTTAGTCCGGGGATAGTCCGGGGATAGTCCGGGGATAGTCCGGGGTTAGTCCGGGGTTAGTCCGGGGATAGTCCGGGGATAGTCCGGGGTTAGTCCGGGGATAGTCCGGGGTTAGTCCGGGGATAGTCCGGGGATAGTCCGGGGAGATCCGCAGTTGTCGGTGCGGGGGGTTTCTGTGTATTTTCTTTTAGTTTGAAGTAAATATTTTAAATCCTTTCACGCGTGGAACATTTTTCGTGTTTGTTTTTCATAAAAATTTAAGACAAAAAATATGAAGTGGAAAAATGAAGTTGGTTTTAAATTGATGAAAATAATTTGTGGAGAATAACGATTTTTGAATGAACCGAGTGTTTGGGCTCCAGGAGCAGGAGAAGTAGTAGTAGTAGTAGTACTAGTAGTATTAGAAGTAGTAATAATAATTTTAGTAGTATTAGTATTAGTAGTAGTACTGGTAGTTGTTGTTACAGTAATAGTATTAATCTTAGTAGTATTAATTGTAGTAGTACTCAGTAGTAGCAGTATTAATAGTAATAGCAGTAGTAGTATCAGTAGTACTAGTAATTGTAGTAGTAGTATTAGTAGTATAAATAGTATCATGTGTATTTGTAGTAGACACGTCATATTTACAGTTGAAGTGAGAAACAGAATCTACAGAAGCGCGTTTGAGTCATTTTTTCTCCGTTTGGTGTAAATCCGGTTTTGCGCCAAAAGGACCCGGATGTTCCCGTGTCACAGTTTCACGTTAAACTCGAGATTTTGTTTCCGTTGATCCGATTCTGCTGCGTCGTTTGTTTGTTTGTTTGTTTGTTTGTTTGTTTTACTCTGAGATAAAATAATCCACAAAAATATAAAAATTGTCTGAAACATGAAAAAGTTAAAGTGAAGCGCGCGCCTCTAAAGAACAAACGTGAACTTTGAGGTTTCATGTTTCTGATGATTTGTGTGAAAATAAAGTCAATAACATTCAAATAAATAAAAAGTGAAAGTATTTTACATTAGATTAAATTCTTTTATCCTCACGTGCACGGATGTTTTCATTTTGTTTTGCAGAAATGCGCGTTCACGAGCAGAATTATTTGTTCTGTACATTTAAAATTAAAATCATAAATATTTCAGTGTATTTTTACTTTTCTTTTAATACTAAAAACACAGAAATATTTTTATATTTTTTGTTGGAAGGAAAATTCATATTTTATTTTTATTTCATTACAAAACGCTGAATCAGCGCGACACGTTCACGCGCAAAACACGAACTCCCCAAGAAAAATGTGGAAAGAGTTTTTGAGTTTTTCTAAATGATCTGAACCGCTGATTTTATCCAGAATAAAAAAAAATGAAATTAAAAAATCAGCAGGTGTTTTATTTGTGTTTTTATCGTGAAAATAAAATTTAAAATATTTACACCAGAAATAAAGATTATAAAGAATAAATTTACTTTTCTCTTCTTGGATGTGAGTTTTATTGTGTTATTGTTTTATTTTTATTCGTTTGTTTAAGTTTTTTAAATCCTTTAAAAATCGCTGACGCGGCAGATATTCGGGGCGGGACGCGCGTGGATCCTTCCGCGGCTTCACGCGCTCCGTGGACCGGACACTAACGTCCTGGTTCCCTCCAAACGCGTCTGATCCATGAACGTGACTTTTGTGAGACTGTGTCTGTGACAGAAGTGTCCACGCGCGGCAGACACGCGGCAGACACGCGGTACAGTGCGCGGAGGAAAACGCTGATGCGGCAGAATGTCGCAGTGGAGCGCGCGGACCCACGGCACGCGCTCCTCTTTGTACCGGGCGGAAGTGGACTTCAGACCCGCGTGAGGCGGACACGGGACCCGGAGGACACGGGACCCGGAGGACACGGGACCCGGAGGACACGGGACCCGGAGGACTCGGACGAACCGGCTCTTCCCGAGTCTCCACAGATCCAGAGTTTTGATCCAAACAAAGTCCACGCGGAGCGGAGCGTTTCTGACGCGGCACTTTCACGTTTTACTCACGGGACATTTGACTCTGATTAAACCGGATGCCCGAACATCTCCACCGAACTCTGCCTGGACTTTTACGCTCTGAATATGAAGGAAAGCACGAGGTCCGTGCGTAATGACGC